ATGATTGAAAATGAATTTAGAAAAACTGATTTTTTGAAGAATGGGGTTAGACAGGTTCTATAATTTCTCTAATTGATCAAATTAATGATGTATAAAACTATAATATTGCAACTTTTTTCATAATTTTATGCGTGATACTACCCTCAATATTTTTAAGCTAAGGAAAATAAGAAACTCAGTTTGTGAAAAAAGTATCATTCTTCGGCTGTCTTCATTGAATAATAATGTGACATGTGAAAAACATTAAAATATGTTATTTCATCTTTAATTCTCAGTCAGACTGGTGGACCGTTCAATGAAGGAGAAGAAACATAGTCAATTTATTAAATGTTCCATGTATGAACAGGAAGTCATTGTGGAACCACTTATGTTATTATCTTTCATGTTTTGCTTCAATTTGTCCGTATAACTTTCAAATCTTTTAATATTCATTAATCCTTAAAAAAATGGTGGATTTCTATTATTCGTTTCATTCACACGACATTGTCAAATTAATTATATGTACAGTTTAGCTTTCATTAACGCGTAATTTGGCCGTCCATTCGTCTGAAAGAACCAGCTAAATAACATAACATACAGCAGGACATATGTTATGTTCTTACCTTCTTGGAGTTTAGTTTAATTATACCATTTATTACATCTATTCATTCTTAGAATAAGTACTTTATTTACACAAGAATTAAAGTGGAAATGATCCATAGAAGTTTGGTGAGTGCTCGTACCATCTTATGATTGTGCCATGAAATTACACGCATTAAAGTTGCCCATACAATTGCAATTTATAATTACGATAACGAGTAAGTCTGTGTATTGATTAAAAATATGAGAACTTTCCATCACAAAATTCATTGATTATAACCTTGTCGGAAATTCTCAGCAATGGGTAGAAGAATATGCAAGGGATGAATATTATTTAAATAGTGTCTTCAGCATGGTTTTTTTACATGTAGCCGGGGTTAATTTTGTTACAAATCGAAATTTGTAACGTATAAATTTCATTAAATGAGTGACGGCCTGACATAAAACCACGTCATTGTCTATTCTCATATTGTGTTGAACCATTCAACAAATCCAACATTAGTTAAAAATGATAACAATGATTAAGGCTTGAGTACTGCTCTTTGTTAATGTTAACTTTCTTATTTAACCACCAAATCAAAGTTTAGAAAGTTCAAAATGAGCAATTTAATATGTTTAAATTTCAAATAAGCAATACGTTGTAAGATTGATGTTTTCAAATCAGCCGTTAATATCTTAATATGCAATTTTCATCGTAAATATTATCGTTGCTATTACTTTTCTTCATTGTGGCCGCTTTTTCTAGTAGTGACATTTCTAATGAAGTACATATAGAACTAATTTAGTTGTACATTTACAGAGTGGCACTTAACATGAAAAATGACAGTTCTTATGGGAGTATTAGCTAATTTTGCCAATGTATGAGGACCAATTTATGGCTTGTTTGGGAATGAGGGAGGAGAGTATGTAGGAAATTTCTAATTATAAGTAAAAAATTACCAAGAAAAGAACATTTTCTAAGCCGGCTCCAATGGTAAAAACAAGAAAATAAAAACAAAGAAATGTCTTCATTATAAGTACGCTATTTGAGACAAGACAAACCTATTCTTTTGTTACCTGAAATCCCTCTCTTTATTCTAAACCCTAGGGTACCCCCACCCCCACGCCAACGCCCACGCCCGCCCCATCCAAGATCATATAATTTTACACTCAAGAACACTTTGCTTCACATCAATCTGGGATTTTATGATGGTACCTAGAAAGCACAACAATTCTGAAACTTCAAGTGAGGAAAACAGTAATCAATCCAAGAGAGTTTGTGAAGAAAACCCTGCTGTTAGCAGATCCTACGATTGCCATTTTTGCAAGCGGGGTTTCACCAACGCGCAGGCATTAGGAGGGCATATGAATATACACAGGAAAGAAAAAGCCAAGAACAAGAAGAAAAATCTTGAGGAATCTTCAATGAATTCTCCAGGGTATTTTCCAGCAGTTTCACCCAATGATCAGCAGCAAAAAGCAATATATTACGATGGTATGGGGGCACAAGTGAGATTTCAAGTCTACTTGCCATCGCCAAACGGCCCAAACCCTAGTTATGTCACGCGTGAAATTCATCATTTGGCATCATCAAACCTTAATGATTTGTCTTCTGTTTGGAGTTCACAACGCGTTTCTTTTCACGATGATCATTTGGATGCAGACTTGAGTCTGAGGATTGCCCCGCCACTTGTTGAAGGTGGAGAAGGAGCTGGGAAGGAAAGTGAAGTGGATTTGGAGCTTCGACTTGGTCATAACCCGTGATCAATTAGGTACGGGTAGAAGTAACCCCGCCATACTCTCCAAATAAGCTTGAACTACACCAAGGTAGACAGTTATGTTTATACAGAGTGAGTTTCCTCAGTTGCCTCGTATTTATGTGGATTATTATGAATACAACAGCTATAAACTAAGTCTAGTTCCTAATAAAATTGGACGGGCTACATAATTTGATTTATTTTCTTTCACTTTATTCAATTTATTGTCAGAACTACTGAATTTGATATATATGAATATTGTACAATTTACATTTTGCTTTTTAGATCAAACAAGCTCATAATCTGAGGGAATTTCTTTCTTCAGTCGTTGACATTACTCTCCTACAGATTTATGAATCCGATCAGTCTTTTACATATGTTTTTATCTGAATTAATCAAATGTTAAATTTATTATGAAATGACAAAAATTGCCTTTTTTTTCTCTCTCATTTCATGATATGCAATCCTTTAGTGTAGCTAAAATGGTTCCACTATTTTTTCTACTCCATTGGCCTCCCATTTTTCAATTTTTCCCCAATAACACCAGGGAGTTAGACGAAGAAATTAACCTAAGAGGGAATTTAAGGTTTATAAAGAGTCATTAACACTAAATGAAAGATTTAATTAGAAGATTTTCTAGTAAAGTTTAATACTTAAGACCTAATGTAATGTCTTTGAAGGATCAGATAGAAGCTGCTAAAAACACAGAAATGGTTGGAATTCTTATTTCTTTTCTTTAGAAGTATCTCAAGATTATCATAATCTAGCATTCGGAGTTGATAGAAAATTCATATGAACAAAATTTATGGCACTGCATAGGCATTATAGTAATCCCTAAGCTGATATATTGATGCCAATCAATTTAATTTTCATTTTCTTTAAAATGGTTGTGCTCTTGTTGGGGATTTTACTATGTTAGATTAGATGCATTGCTGCAAGAACGAATGGTATGAGTGTCTCTCTATCTAGGGACGAATTTAGTATGGAGGTAGTGAGGTCAACTGTCTCAACACTAAATTTCAAATTTTGCCCCCAAAAAAAAAAAAATCCTTGTAGTTTTCAATTCCCACCCCCACAATTTATTTATCCTAGCTTCGTCCCTGTCTGTATCAAAGGTCTGCAAATGGATTTTCCTTGATTTGATTAGTGAGAAATTAAGACTTTACAAGATTAAGGAAGAGAGGTACATGGAATATGTTCGTCTATTGTTATATCTAGTCGAAAGTAACAAACATTAAACATTACCTTTGGATTTTACACGAGCTTAGTGTATCCAGGGTTGGGAAGAGGGAAGGAGATTTGAAGAATTTGGTAGGATTTTTTTGTTATTAAGTGAAAATTTTGATGTAAATTTGTATATATAACTCAAACGATCAGAACTTCTTTTGATGAAACTAAAACATAGTACATCAAATCCTAGGAAACCTATCCTTCGATTCTGCTACATAAAAGCTTCTTTTTTTTTAAGGCAAATATGATGAAGGCAAAAAAATAATTCCATTTAATTTTGGGTTTGTTCGTTTTTTGCGAATTCCTAGTCTAATTTGAGTAGAAACGGGCCAATGATCACAACTCAGGTCCTTTGACCTGAAGTACGTCAAATTTTGGGCAAATTCCATCGTTTAGGCCCTCAATTATGCATTTTTGTCATTTATGATAATTTTTATTTTGACAATATCTTTGTCACATAAACTCGGATTTGATTTCCCTTTGTTGGGGGATGATCCTGATGATTAGAAGAGTCAAGATCCGTCATTATCTCAATTTTTTCCATTTTTGAAAAAAAATAATATTT